CCCATAACACATCATTTGCTGTTATATGGCTATTTTAGACGTGACTGGTGAGTTATACAAGACAATACTTTGGCATACATTATGAAGTAACATATATGCCTGGTCGTCGCATGTTTGCGAGTGGGATTATTACAAAGCGCAGCTTGGCCAGATAATATAAAAGTTCAACGAGATTACTGGGCGAGTGAAGCAATGCACGGAATTACAAAAACTGTACACACCGATGGAGCAAAGACTTCTAGAGGAGAAAACAGATGAACAGCAGACAAATAAACAAGTGGAGAGACGAAAGCAGAGAAGTGAAGAAGAGTTACATGTTTCTGAAAGTCAGACAGACAGATGTTTGTAAGGTTTAAAGGGCTCTATGCTCTGTAGAGCAGGATTCTCTCAGCACATGTCTGGCCCACCAGACTAGCGTACTGCTCCACTTCCTTCTCATCATTCGATCCCTTCCGCTTACGAGCGTAGGCCGCATAGGGCATCACTGTCCTCCTGTGGAGCACTAACACCCGTCCCAGATCCTTCAGCGCACGAGCATCACCTGCACAACAACACAGACACAGACATCGCAACGGTTAGAAACAGAATAGAAATGAATAAAGTCTCCTGTTTAAAATATAACTGAGCCTTTAATTGTCATTTACACAGCATAACTAGTTTAGATTAGGTCACAAAACTGGATGAAGCTGAGTTAATGAAGTATTTATTAACATACAAAGTAACTATTGATATATGACTGAATAATAGATATATAAATGTTAATTTAAATAGTTTATTAATTGTTCACCAACTCATTCTGGATGATCTTAAAAAACAAACTATTCTTAAATAACTGGTTTGTAAAAAATGCAGTACTTAATTCAGTAATGAAAAATGAATATTTAACAAAGTATGAGAACCCAATCATCAAGCACATTATACATAATAATTAATAATTATACATAAATGCTAAATAAATGATTTAGTGTCTAATTACTGTAAAGTGTTTCCTAATTTTTGAACTTTACAATAGTTGTTTTGGTCCGACTTTATTTTAAGTGGCCTTAACTAATATATACCTACACAGGAAATAATAGTTTGTTACAATGTACTTGTTGTGTAAATACATGTATTTACTGTGTACTTATGCTTGATTAAATACAAGTATGTAATTACATCTGTAATTAACTTTTGTAAATACACTGTTGACTATCCCTTACACCTTAACCCACTCTTAAACCTACCCATACCACCGAACCTGTTCATAACCCAACCTCTATTCCAACTCAAAAGCACCACAAGTGTTCTCAAACACATCATAAACACAGTAAGTACATTGTATTTATGTTTTTGATGCAAGTACATAGTAGTTAAGCACACTTAATATAAAGTGTGTTTACATATTTTGTTTTTAACAAAAAATGCAACAGTGAGTACGTTTACATGGACACTAATACTCAGATTTTAATACGATTAAGACAATACTCTGATTAAGAGTCTACCATGTGAACAATGATTTTTGATTACCTTAATTCGACTGAAGTCATAATCGAACTAAACAGAAATGGAATTAAGACATATGGAGTGTGCCGATTTTAGTGGCAGTATTGAAGGGACACGTAAACACTTTAATCAAACTATTATTGTTTTGTAGTATTTTTCACTACATTTTGCGACGGGATGCTCACATAGCAGTTGTCAAACATACACTTTGCTGAGTCCTGTTTGCTGTAACACTACGAAACATATCCTTGCCTTGTTCTTTTGTTAATGTTGTTTAGGTGCCTGTATCGACCTCTTTGCCTGTTTCTGACTACGTACTTTGGATTTCCCTCATGCTCCAGTTTGTACCCATTTCACCGTTGCCTGCCTGACTACTCTTGTTAATAAACTGCACTTGGATCCTCAACTACATTGCCAGATTTGTACGTTACAACTGTACAATAAACAAATAAAAATTAATTTAATAGTAAACTCCGCGAGTGGCATGAGTAGACTCATAGAGGTCAATGAATTCCAATTTTAAAGACATGGTCTGGTCTGTGGGACAAGTTAAAACAGCTTAAAAATGCAGAAAAACAACTCTACATCTAAAGCTTTTACCCTAAGGCAACCAATGAGTATTTTTTGCTGATATGTATGGTTAGCAATTTGAATTTGTGACATCTTTGGACCAAAATATAATAGATCAACACCCAGGTAATCATCCAAGACACCTTAGTTTTGACCTTTACACATTTACTTAAAAATATTGCCTTTGTAGGCAACTGTCTGAGCAACTAAACAACTTCAACTCCACATCATTCACTGACACAACATGTAGTTAAGGCACTGGGTGGAGGGATAAACATCCCTGCACTCTGGTCTGAAAGTTCAGATAAGGGTCAGATGCAGATCTGAACTAACAATTATTCAGGTATGACGATGAAAAAGGATCTGTCCACCCTTAGGCAACAGCAGCAGGTCAGTCAGGGTTACAGCTACAGCTTGACCTCAATCATCTCAAACACGAATAAAACAGAACGCTTCTCCAAAAAGCTGCAGCTCAGTGCAGAACAGCCAGAGATGTGCAACAATGACTCCTTCAGTGAAGGAACAGCTTGGTCGGTTCTCATTTGTTTATAGGTTTTCAAGCCACTCCGGCAAGCCAAAATTCAGACATGCATTGCGTACTTGGTCAAGACGCCAACACCTTCCCCCATGAGCTGTTAAAACAGGAATTGCAACGAAAAAAAACAAAAGAATGTAGTCATTTGTAAAAAAAAAAAAAAAAAAAAAAAAAAAAAGTCTGAAAATGGCCCTCCAAGACAGCGGGAGGTTAATAAGGGGAGAATAAACTTATTAGGCCAAGGCTGACTAATGCTAATGTAAGTGTTACAATTTCAACTCAAATAAACTCACAGAGCAGCGTTTCATAGAAAGCTCTGCCAAGACAACATTACAAACTTTGAATGCTTTAGAAAGACTAAGGTGTCGGTGCCAGTAGCCTAGTGGTACTGCGTACTGAAATATAGCACCAACTTGCCCACGGCGACCCGAGTTCGATTTTCAGCTTGAGGTCATTTGCCAATCCTCTCTTCTCGCTGCTCCCAATGCTTTCCTGTCTGAATTCTCAACTGTGCTGTCATAATAAAGGTGAAAACACCTTTAAAATATTTATTTAAAAAGAAAAACTAAGGTATGTATGTTTTATTTTATGACGTTGTTTTATATCGCCAACTTTTAAAAAAAGCAAAATAATAAAAAATCATTTAAAAAAGACAAAGATACGTCAAACACAAACTCTAAACTTTAAAAAACTATTTAAATGTTGCAATTAAAGGCTCAATAAGAGAGATTTATTTTAATATAATGGATAATTGACCCTTTGCGAAGCCACGCCCAAAAACCGCCACCCACCAGGGCTTTGTCAAGCTTTCGAGCGAGAGAAACAGGCCAGAGCGTTGTGCATATGGATTGTGCAAATCTGCTGGCCGGTATCCTAAAAGTTTGGACTGGGTGGTGGATTTTTTTTCCCTTTTCAAAACCAAAAACCCAAGAGGGGGAATGCCAAGGTGGATAAAGCTCTGTGAGAGGCACTAAAGGAGCGGAGTTAAGTTGTTTTTTTTGATATTCCTGACACATTCAGTGATAGACCGACGACAATAACTCACACAACTCTTACCCTAAACAGATCTAAACTGTGTTTCCTGCAAAAATACAAAGCAGGTTTTGTTTCCCAGCTGTCTTTTTTTTTTTTTTTTTTTTTGCTCAATATTATGAGCACTGCTCCGTTTAAGCCCTCGCCATAATAATAGCGAATAGGTCATAATGACATGAGTTATTGATCCAGAAAATACGAATCTGCGAATCTGTTGCTAACTTTACTGAACTTCATATTTCCATCTATTACTAACTACGAAAATTTGAAATTACAAAACAACAGAACAAAACCGAGATATTATCACAAACTGAGCACCCGCGATCAATATACTTTACCCGCAGCTGTTTTTCAGTCATTTATAAAGGAGCACACAAACATACTGACAGTAATAGGTAACTTACTGTACATTGTTATGAGCCAATGATGCTAATATTTGGCACAAATCCATCAAATTCGCCTTTCTGGCTGTTCTTTCTATGAATGAATTATGTAAAAGCTCTGTCTATGCGTGTTTCCTTGTCGGTTAGTAACGCTATATTTTATTGCACAACAATTAATCTATCAGGCTTTTTGGCAAAAACAGAGAAATCACAGTTTAATTAGTTATTATTAGGTTATTTTTAAATTCCACGTCTCCTGCTGTGCATGAACGAAGCTGTTGAATGGTCAGCGTATGAGGTGGCTAGGCTAAGCTAGCTTAAATTTTGATTAAATTTTTTTTCTAATCGGTCGCCTATTATGTGGTGAATATGTAATGCATACTGCAGTCCTTTTTTGTCTGGCTTTCTGGAATATCTCACCTGTTCGCCAAAAATGACTAATTATATCCCTGGCAATGTCTGACACCGGTGCATACACATTGTAAAAGCCATGCCAGGCACGAAACCTTGACAGGCGTAGCAACAGTACCTAAGGAGGGCGGGGCTTAGCGAAGGGTCAATTACAATGGTCCAAGAAGACTTTATCATTTGAACGGCATCTACACCTATGTTAGCCTAGTTTTTTCTTATCCCGAGGTCTCCATAATCCTGGACCAGGCCATATCCTGAGCAGATGCTGTGGTGGTCATGATAGAGTGGGGAGTGGGAGACAGAGTTCCTGACAGACTCCAAAGACAGACAAGTCTCATCATTGATCCTGTGGGCCAGCCTGATCACCCACCGGTGACCTTCTCAAACCTGCAGCTTCTCCAAAATGGACGTCTAGCTTTCTCCAGCCTCCGACGCCTAGACTGCAGCTCTGCACAGGAAGTTTGGCCTGAGGAGAAATGGTCATGCCTAACTGAGCCTGGTTTCTCTCAAGGTTTTTTCTACAATTTCGTCAATTGGTGAAGTTGGGGTGGCGGTTTGTTTAGCGTTACGTTTGGAGAAAACCAGGCACCGCTCATCCCCAGGCTAATACCATCCCTACGGTAAAGCATGGTGGTGGCAGCATCATGCTGTGGGGATGTTTTTCAGCAGCAGGAACTGGAAGACTAGTAAGGATAGAGGGAAAGATGAATGCAGCAATGTACAGAGACATCCTGAATGAAAACTTGCTTCAGAGTGCTCTTGACCTCAGACTGGGGCGACGGTTCATCTTCTAGCAGGGCAATGATCCAAAGCACACCGCCAAAATATCAATGGAGTGGCTTCACAACAACTCTGTGAATGTCCTTGAGTGGCCCAGCCAGAGCCCAGACCTAAACCCTATTGAACATCTCTGGAGAGATCTGAAAATGGCTGTACACCGTCGCTTCCCATCCAATCCGATAGAGCTTGAGAGGTACTGCAAAGAGGAATGGGCAAAATTCCCAAAGACGGATGTGCCAAGCTTGTGGCATCATATTCAAAAAGACTTAGGTGTTGAGCAAAGGCTGTGAATATTTCTGTAAATGTGATGTTCAGGTTTTTTATTTTTTATAAATTTGCAACAATTTC